TTTCGCCGTACTGTAAAACGAGCAGTGTTTCTTCGACGTTACGGTGAGATGGACAGTGCGAAAGGCGTCGAACGGGAGAGAACGGCAAAACTAATCGCAAAGACGCGCACGTGGATTCGTAAGAAACACAGAGCATTAAAGACCGATATGATGGAGAATGAGATGGCGTTGGAAAAACGATTCAAACCGATCGTGGAACCGTTGAAACAAATCGTTGAAAACACCGAACGAGAAGAATCAACCGGTATAATGGAGAAGAAGCGAAAAAATAAACGTGAGCGCGGCGGCGACGACGACGACGACCACGACGACGATGACGACGACGACGATGACGACGAAATTTCCACACAAATTACACCGCATGTCCTCCATGGAGCAAACGAACAAAACGATTGAACATCGTGTCGACGGTCCATTCCACGCCGATAAAATCGCAACAATTATCCCCGCAGGATTAGGAAGTCTTTATCGGTGATGATCCGTTACTTGAAACAACTGTCAGACAGGTTCTAAAGACACCGCAAAGTTGCGAGAGGTTGCACAGTCAGTTAGGACCGTTGGGACAAATATACGTGAATGCTCTGCTTAGTGGTGATAAAAAAAAAGAAATCGATCATGTTTACGGTGTTTATTTCGATGAAAACGGTACGATGCTGGGCGATAAAACATTCGACGTAGATTCGGACGACACCATAATCGTAGACGGAGTAAGATACAAAAGTACATCGGGCCTGTACGAGTTAATCTTCAAGAGAATTCCCGATGATGCTATTTACACCAAGAACGATAAAGAAACGTATAAAAGTATATTGCTGACAACGAATGCGCACAGACGTCGTCATAACGCTGAAATGCCTGTTAAAAGTAACAAGGAACACAAATACAAACACATCATTGGTCCGCTCGTGGGTGCTCACAGTACGAGCACAGGTTCGGGTGTACCATCCGCCATGAGATTAACTGATAACAAAATAGATTACATTCATTGGGACGATCCTAATGAACTGGTAGATCAACTTCAGTTGCTCGATGCTTCTCGTCAAGCAGGCAACAACGCTCATGATAACGAGATATTGTCGATATTTGAAGAACTTCGCGAAGCTGGGTTGATTATAAATCGTTGCGACGAAAACTGCGACAGTAGTCAAATTCGCGAGAGTTCGATATGATGTCTGTGAATAAATTTGGTATACCTATGAGGAGAGATGATAGCGACGAAATCGAAAGGTCGCGATCGTCGATCGAATCTTTATGAAATTACGTACACGACAGTGGGCTCTGTCTGAATCCGGATCACTACGATGCGAAGGAACGAAAAATAGAACACGTAGCCACACTGGAGTTTAACACCGACTTGGTAAACAAAAGCTACATCGAACGCAATCTTCGAAATTCGAGGAACGAGATCGAGGAATCATTTAGAACGATAAGGAAAGATACGCAGAAAGACATCTCGAAAGTGCTCAACGATGTGGAGAAAGTACAAAGAAACGTAGAAGAAATCGCGAAAAGCGTGACGAAGGTGTCCGCTGCTATCACGTCTAAATGGAAATGTAGTCGATTTGTATCTACAAATGAAAAATGTGACGATTGAAACGTTAGAGAAATCATTCAAAACGACTGGGAGAGATATGATCGTACGCGCACTTAAGGGGGTAGTCTGCTTTACAAGGCCAAAAAATAGCAATATTTTGGGAATTTTTTTAGAAGGGAAAAAATAATTAAACTTCTTAAACGTTTATGCCTCATTTTAATATGTATTCAAAGGGTATAAAGTGAATTTTTATGGAGCAATTTAATAGAAAATGGCGGATGTAGAGGCTATTGTGTGGAGCGCCTCGGCTCTGGAGTTGTCCATCTGCGTACACGATGCCGCTCGCAATTCTTGTCTGAAATGAAAAAATTAAACTGATTATTAATTTAGACATGTATATCTTCTATATGAACCTAAAAAATTCCGAAAAAGAGGCATAATGATGATTATTTGTAGTTTGAACACAAATTATGCATTTTTACATGTTTAAATTTGACTTTGACCTGATGTAAAAATTATTAAAAAAGCGTTTTTAATAATTCTTTTTGGTTCATATAGAAGGGAATTTAGTTGTGAAGAGAATGCACTTTGGCTTTTGTCGATCGGTCAAATATTTTTTTTGCTATCGTGTACGCAGTTTAGGAAAAATCGTAAAAATGAAAACTCGAGAAAACACGCTTTAAAGTTTGCGGTCGGAAAAAGTTTGATTTATTGACTACTTACATCAATAATCTGCTAATCAGCGATTCCTGCACTATATAAGAGGCCTTCAGCTTCCTCGTAGTATTCATGAAGATGAATTTGTTCGGCTCCTAAGTATTTTAAGGGGATCGAGGGACGGGCGCGCGCTCGGAGCAGACCGGCATTCGCCGCGGCGCGCTCCGCACCTACCTGCTCTCGGCCTTATATCGTCACAAATACTTTGAATAGGAATTTATCCTTTTGAGAATATATTCTTGGATAGTTTATCTATCCATTTAAGCAATAAAAAAAAATCGATTTTTTTGACCTTGTAAAGCAGACTACCCCCTTAAAGATACTAAAGAGTTGGAAAGTCTAAAGAGTTAGAAAAAACAGTGCCGAACATGATCGAGAAATCGTTGAAGACGACGGGGAACGATATGATTGCACGCGCGCTTCAAGGTGTGGTGACGACTAAAGAGTTGGAAAAACGGTGCCGAACATGATCGAGAAATCGTTTAAGACGACGGGGAACGATATGATTGCGCGCGCGCTTCAAGATACGGAGGAGGACATTTCGAAATTGTGGAACAATGTGGAAGAACTCTTTAAAAGTATAATTACGAGGGTCGTTTGAAAAGTCCGTGCAAAAATAAAAACTACTTAATTTTTTGGGGTAAACTTTTTTTATTTTTCAACATAGTCACCTTTTAGGCTTATACACTTCGTCCAACGCTGCTCTAATTTGTTGATCCCTTCCGAATAATAGGATTTGTCCAAGTCTGAAAATAGCCATTTGTTTCTGCAATCACCTCCTCGTTTGCATAAAATCTTTTTCCCGCCAGCCATTTCTTCATATTGGGGAACAAATAGTAGTCCGAGGGAGCCAAGTCTGGAGAATAGGGGGGATGTGAAACGAGTTGGAACCCTAATTCCATTAATTTTGCGACCACAACTGCTGAGGTGTGAGCTGGTGCGTTTTTGAAAATCACTCGACTTCCTCGATTCAAATGAATGCCAAACACAAACAAATAGACCGATCTGGCTAAAACGTGGTGTGTGTTCTTCCAAGAGATGCTACTAACTAAATCTAACCTTGATACGCGCCAGTAGTGCCATTTCTCTGACTTTGCACGGACTTTTCAAACGACCCTCGTATGTATAAGCTCACTATCGGATGAGGCATTTAAACTCAGCTCGGATAAATTAAACTCAAAAAAGGTATCTAGGGATGAACTGTAAAAAAAGATAGGAAGGTTTAAAAGATATGCGTAATCAATAAGAAATCTTGATTCAATATCAACGAATTGTGCTTATAAATACCTCCACATTTTCTTCAGCTTGCAGTTTTGTTTGTGCTGTCTAAACAAACGCAAAATCGGACAATTATCAGAATACTGGTGTAAATCAACTTACGACAAGCCGTACATAAACAGTACATGATCATTCTAGGCCTTAAAAGCCACATAAGTTTTAATAGATAATAAAAAAATATATACTTTCAAGCACAAATAGATATTAAACGCGAGTAATGAGTCAACTAAATTTATTTAACTAAATTTAACTGAAATATAAATTTCCTTCGGCTTCCGTCTCTTAAATATCCGTGGAAAGATGCGAAAATATATTCGATTGCGATGTTCTTTTACGATAATAACATTGGCCAATGATAATAATGGGAATTCGTTAGCTTTAAGGCTGATAGGTATATGTATACTGTGACAGCGTAACTAAATAGACCATGTTTTCTACTTCACGCAGAAAATGTGTGGACAAGCTTCTCCCTGTCATAATAGAGGGAGAGATAAGTGTCGAGAAACGAAAACTCGTGGAAGAACTCCACGCACCCGCGCGAAGAAATTTTCTACGTCGCCGCGTTGTGGTACGCGGTCGCGACGATTTGTGGCAGGCTGACGTAGTCGAAATGCGTCCTTACGCGCGATTCAATAAAGAATACAATTACATTTTAACAGTTATCGATGTTTTGAGTAAATACGCATGGGCACTACCACTCAAGAGCAAAAACGGAAGCGACGTAGCCGCAGCGTTATTTAAAATATTTTGCGAAGATGAATGATACCCGCGAAACCTGCAGACGGATCAAGGAAAGGAATTTTACAACTCCACTGTGCAAAAAATTGTGCAGAGGCGCAACATAAATCACTATTCAACGTACTCGGTGATGAAAGCGTCGGTAGTGGAACGATTCAATCGCACATTCAAGAATAACATGTGGAAACTATTTACGTTAAATGGCTCGTACAGATGGATCGACGAGTTACCGCATCTACTGTCGAATTATAATCATTATAGACATCGGACCATCGGAATGCGACTGATAGAAGTGACACCCGTCGTTGCAAAGCGGCTCTTATCAACGGTATACAGTCACGTAAAAATTGCCGCCCCAACGAAATTCAAGACAGGTGATCCAGTACGTATTAGTAAATTCAAAACAATTTTCGAAAAAGGCTACACACCTAATTGGTCCACCGAGGTTTTCTACATCGTTAAAATACGACATACGAATCCTGCAACGTATCTGTTAGAAGATTATCAAGGAAAACCGATAGCTAGTGGATTTTACGAACACGAATTACAACGAGTCTCGAATCCTGACGTTTATCTCGTGGAAAAAATACTACGCAAACGAGGAAATAAAGTGTACGTGAAATGGTTGGGAATGAACAGTTCGCATAATTCTTGAATAGATAAAACGAATGTATTGTAAATTTTGTTTTTATTATAAGTTTTTTTATTACAATAAAAAGATGTGTCACACACGTTACAACGGTATTTTATAATGTCCCCAAGGTAGAGTAGCGACCGAATCGGGTACGACGTACCGCTTATCGTCATACGGACTGAGAGCGAGTTTCAATTCAGACACCGTGTAGACCTCGTGCAATGTCGATCGTATGCACGACTGCCGTCTCAGCTGTTCCATTACGTCATTCAAACACCGCGTGTAATCGTCGAAAGTGATCGTTTTCGCGACTACGTTTTTCTTCACACCCTTTATTCTCTTCGTATCGCTTCTCCCGATCACTCTAAATGCGTACATCTTCGCTCTGAGTCCTACGAATTCCGTCATAATCGCGCCGTTATTTTCATCTTTCATCAAACCGGGTATTTTGGTATTAACGCGTGGAATATCATACGCGTTTCCCTCAGGGTAATCGCTCGTGTCGAATCTCGCGATATCACGCTTGATATTCTCGTATACATTTTCACACTCCAAAAGATATATCAAACTGTCAGTGTCCGTGTACATGATCTTACATTTATCGCGATACAACGGCATTACGTAATCGTAGTGAAATTCATACAGACGCATCTTGGATATTTCGAGAATGCACATACCTACGTATATCGGTTTGTTCAATTTTACCTCGAGTTTGCGCATTTCGACAGCAATTAGATCTTCGGAAAAGACACTTCTGCTGTGAAAGTTCGGTTTCGCTATCATCGCTTCCGCACCGTATCTTCCGTCCCAACGCGTTACGAGTCGAACGTCAACATGATCGCGTACGTTCTCCATTGTTTTTCCAAATACCGCGTTATTCATCAATTTGTAAAGATTCTTCTCGAATTCGTTATTCGCGAGCTTTCTGAATCTCGTATTGAGTTCGATGTATCCGCGAAGCCATGGGGATTGTGCGAATTGTAATATTCGATGAATTTTTTTCACGTATAATCCGTGCTGAATGCATTGTTGCAAATTGCGATAGTACGTGACATAGCGCTCCTTATCGTAGAGTGTAGCCAGCAGTTTATCATTTCGTTTTCCGGGAGGCCGTTCGCGAGTGGGACAGAATGGAAGGTCAGTATGAGCGTCATGAACGCTTTGCGGATACGCAAGGTCGACTTCTAGAATATAACCGATAACGGAGTCTGACGACACAGACATTACGTCAAAGCGCTCGACGTCATCGACCCATTGAAATTCTCCATACGGTAAGGATTCGGACATCGCCCAACCGTACAAATTATTCACATCGAAGTACATGAGGTACGTCGAGGGTTCCGAAGGATCGTACGAAGGTGCATACTTGTTATTAGCTCGCGCATATCTATGCGAACATTGGCTTAAACCACCGCGTATACCACGCTCTACAAACATCACCATGTCGATGTCGGTGAGCAATTCGAATCGAATACCGGTGTATTTCAACATACCGTCCCACGTGTATCCCGGTAGGTAATAATACGTCGGATCCAAGCCGTAAGTCTCGATACACGTATCACGAAAATTTTCGAAAACGTCCGCCAATAAAAGCACATCCGTCTTGAGATACAAATCGCTGTAATCACCGAGAGTCTCTATGCATAAGCGTCGCAAATCGTTCGTCGCGTGTTGATAATCATCCTCGGAAACGACCTCGTCGGTTAACGAACTGTAAAACGACTCGCGCGGCGGTAAACTAGTCTCGTCCAGCTTATCAACGCTATTGACGTACTCGTACGGAAACACTCCTTTACGCGTAAGCAGATCAAAATCCTCGGTGTTAAGATTGCGAAATTCCGACCGCGTGATTGTCAATTTACTCTTGTCGAGATACGATACCAATTTCTCGAGACTAGTACTGAGAAATTTAAAAGAATCCACAAAACGCAGTTTCACATTGTCCGTTCCCCACTTGACTTTCGCCGTATCCTTGACATATTTCGTAAACGATATATAATTTTCTTTCGTTATCGGTAACAAATACACGCTACCCTCAAAACTATTAGCGATATCTTTTATGATAAAATGCGCGTCA